TAGATTGAGTAGAGAAAATAGGAAATTTATTATAAGGCCCTTGTGATGTCTAACTTAGCTATCTACCTTTTTTTGTCTAAAATGTTTTCCTGTGTACTATAAATTCTGACTCTTTAGTAACTGTTTAGTTTGTAATAACTAGCTAGCTTTTGTTATTTCTTTGCTTGTCTAGTTGATATATATTCTTATTCAAGGTAAAGGAGGGGCTATTCCTATGTTGCAGGGGGCTTTCAAGGGTACTTCTTTTAAGTTTCTCTAGGAGTTCTTTTATAGACATGTTTTGTACTTTGATTCCCTCTAAGAAAGCAGTGAGATCATCTCCTGATTTCCTAGAGTTTTTCTATCTTATCTTGGGTGTTTTTCTAATGATCTGTTATTAATTAAGCTTGAATTCTCAGATTGTTCTGGTTGTTTCTTTGTACCTATATTCCCTGATGTTTCTAGTATGATATCATTATTCTGTTCATTGAGCCGGGAAAGGTCTAGGCACACTATCTGAATCACTGCCAGGGTATTCATAATGATTAAAGCAGAAAAGGTCATGATCCCCAAAGCAAGCACAATCACAATAGGTATTGCAGGGCCTTCCATGCCACATCCACCAAGTTGGAAACTGCTTCCTTGAAGTCTTATACCCCCTCTCAGGACCTTGTCACGGAGAGAGGGATCCAACAGTGGACGCGGCAGTGGACGTGGCAGATATTTCTCTCCTTCTTTTCTTCCCTTCCCCTCTAAAGACAAATAAATTAAAAAGTCTCAAAAAAAATGGGACCATGTTCATGGATTGAGAGACTTAATACGAAGATGACAATACTATGCAAATATTCATATGGAATATCAAGGGACCCAGAATAGACAAAACAGCCTTTAAAAGGAGGAACAAAGTTGGAGGACCCACATTTCCCGATTTCAAAACATGGTACAAAGCTACAGTAATCAAAACAGTTTGAAATTTGCTAAGTATAGATAGACCAATAGAACTGAGAGCCCAGAAGTAAGTCCTCATGTTGACAGTCAATGGATTTTCAACAAGGACACTAAGATCATTCAATGGTGAGGGGATGGTGGTCTTTTCAAGAAACGACGCCGAGAAACTAGATAACCACATGCAGAGAATGAAGTTAGGCCCTTACCTTACACCATATGCAAAAATTAACTCAAAAATTGATCAAAGATCATTTTTTAAGAGCCAAAACCCATAAAACTAATAGAAGAAAACTTGGAGGAGAAACCTTCATGGCCTCGTAGGTAGCATTGGTTTCTTCAATATGAGGCCAAAAGCACAAGCAACAACAAAACGGATACATTAAACTTCATGAAGATTGAGAACATCTTCATGGCAGAAAAGACTGCCAAGCCCTGGCTGGTGTGGCTGTGTCGATTGGAGCATCATCCAAAAGGCTGAAGGTTCAATTCCAGGGTTAGGTCACATACCTAGGTTACGGGTTCAGTCCCCAGTCAGTGTGCGCCTGGGAGACAATCTCTCTCTCTCTCTCTCATTAATAAAAATATTATTTAAAGCAAAACAAACACTGCCAAGAGAGTGAAAAGACAACCCACAGAATGGGAGAAAATATTTGCAAATTCGATAAGGGTTCGAAATCCATAAAATATTTAGAAGCCCCAACAACTCAACAACGAAAAAGTCCAAAACCCAATTTTAAAATTGGCAAAGGACTTGAATAGACATTTCTCCAAAAAAGATCGACGAATGGCCAATACGTCCATGAACAAAAATTCCTAACATCACTAATCATTAGAAAAATGCCAGTCGAAACAACAGACGAGATACCCCTTCACCCTCATTGGCTTGGCTAGAGCTTTTGTTTTAAAGCGTTGGAGAGGCTGCTAAGAAACTGGAGCCCTTGTGTAGGGCTGGCGGGGCTATAAAGTGGCGCAGCCACTGCGAAAACAGTTGCCAGTTCCCCAAGAAGTTCCGCACAGAATTTCCACATGACTCAGCAGTTCCACTCTGGGGTAAGTACGCCAGAGAAGTGGAAACAGACGCTGGAACAGATAGAGAGTCACACAGAAGCGTTCACAGTCACCAGAAGGTGGAAACAACCCCGGACAACGGACAAACAAACCGTGGTTTATTCATATAATGGAATATTACTCAGCCGTGAAAAGAGGTGAAGGGTTGATACCTTCTACAACACAGATGGACCTTGAAAACGCAGTGCTAAGTTAATAAAGAAAGGCACAGAAGGACAGATATTGTACGTTTTCACTTATATCAAACGTATCAAACAGGCACATTCAGAGACACCAAGTAAATTAGAGGTTACCAGGGGCTGAGGGTGGAGAAATAATGGAGAGTTTTTGCTTAATGAGTATAGAATTTACGTCTGGAATGATGAAAAAGGTTTGCAAATAGATGTGACAGTTATACAATATCATGAGTGTAATCAAAAGTAGCGATGATAAACTGAAAAATAGTTAAAATGGTAAATCTTATATGCATTTTGCCATAGTAAAAAAATAAAAGTAGCCCTGGCTGGTGTGGCTCAGTGAGTGTTAGGCTGTGAGCCAAAGGGTCGCCGGTTTGATTCCCAGTCAGGGCACACGCCTGGGTTGCAGGTCAGGTTCCCCAGTAGGGGGCGGTCGAGAGGCAACCACACTGATGTTTCCCTCTCTTCCTCCCTCCCTTCCCAGAGGACAGGCTCTGCTGCAGAGCCAACTTGAAACATACCAATAAGAATTATGAAAATAAGTTTATTTGATATGACATTTTACCATGTCTTTCATTACATTCTAATTAATCACTAACTCTCAAGACGGACGAAATCGGGTTTTCTTTTCCTTTTTCAGCGAAGTTGTATCCCTCAATTAGAAACCCCCATAGCTGAGCGCACACAGCTCCGAGTGTTGGGTCTGGAGGGGTGGACGCCTGCGGGATTTGTCTCCAACGGCCCGTTCCCTCGGGGGTGTGGTTACGGTTGGAGGCCGCTGCTTCTCTAAGATTATAACTATAGGAAAACTACGGTGCCCTGGACTCACGGCACCAGCTCCACAATTTGCAGAGACCAGTGTGAAGTGAAAACGCAAGACCCCTGGTTCAACAGCCAATCAGAGTGTCCGGGCTATGAGGTCAGAGCATTAGAGCAAGTACATTTCTGAGCTGGGGGCCCATGAAGCTGGCCTCGGCAGTAGCTGAGAGCGCACGGATGACAAGCAGTAGCTGAAAATCTCGGACTGGGCACGCAGAGGCGCAGAAGACAGAAGAGGTACCAGGTCAGAGGGCCCCCGAGGTGCCCACGGAATTAGTGTAGCCTAGGCAGACATTGTCTCGGGCTGACCCAGCAGCCACTCCCAATTCTTTCATCCTGTCTGCTTTTGGCCACTCTTCCCAGCCTTCCCGCTGACTGCTGGGACTTGGCTGGACAGGAGGGGCAGTTTGCTGGGCTCTTCAGAACATTTCTGTGTTCTCGATGAAAGGGACAGCCCTGGTTGGCCACCCCCACCACCAGGTCTCCATTACTTTGCCTCAGTCTATCCAAGTCTGTAGCTGCAACAGTCACTTAGCAAGGACAAGGAACAAGCATGAGCCCTTAAAGCCAACATACTAAATATGACAATATACAGAAGTAAAAGCACCAGTCCTCCGTGACATGCTGAGCACCTGATACAACAGACCCATCTACACCCAGACATCTTGTTACCTGAGAAGATATCCCCTAGCTGAGTCGGGCACCCAACATCCTTCCCCACCCTACAAACGATGGGAATCCAGGGCTGTCGCTTACCTGTTCATCAAAGCCACACTCCACACTCATGTTCATGGTCACTGATTCCCAGTAGTCAAGAGGTGGAAGCAACCCAAGCATTCACGGGCAGATGAATGGCTAAAGAGAAGGTAGCATGGCCATGCCGTGGAATATTACACAGCCTGGAAAAGGAAGGAACTTCTGACACAGGCTACATCGTGGATGAAACTCGAAGACATTATGCTAAGTGAAAAAGGCCAGTCACAAAAAGACAAAAACTGTATGATTCCATTTCTATGAAGTACGTAGAACAGTCAAAGTCACAAGACGGAAAGTGGAATGGGGGTGGCCAGGGGAAGGGGGGAATGGGAAGTTAGGGATTGATGGGCACAGAGTTTCTTTCCATTTTGCAAGGTGCAGAAGTCCTGGAAGTTGGTTGCACGGGAATGGGAGTATAGTTAACACTACTGAACTGCACACTTAGGAAGAGTACAATGGTTAGCTTTTACATTATGTGTTTTTACCACAATAAAAATAAATTTAAAATAAAAATGAATTACCTGAAAATGGCTCCAGCATTAAAACAAAACGACCAGCAGGGGGCGCTGCACGCCCACTCCCTTGTCATTTCCGCGGCGGTTTGTAGAGGGAAAAAAGCACCAGGCTCCTGGAGAAACTTGGAGCTCCTCTCTCCTCTCTCCTTCATCCCCCCCCCCCCCCCCCGCCCTCTTTCCCAGATGGACGGGCTCTGCATTAGCCCCAAGCCCCTCGGCACCCCGGGGACATCCCTGTCCCACCCCACTTTGAGCCTGCGTTCCCTCTGGCACCCTCCCCTCTGTGCTGGAAACACAGCAGTGGTGGATGTGGTGAGCCCACCCTACCCAGAAGCCCTCAGGCCTCCAGACTGCCCAGGCGCTGGAGAAGAGGGACAGGTAACAAGGACTCATGGGCCCCAGGTTATCCAAAGATGAGGGTACAGCGCCATGGAAATGGGCCACAGATCTCCTATCCCAGGGGCAAGACTCCAAGGTCAAGCGGATGTGGAATTTTCTGGCTCAGATACTCACTGGTGATGCCATAACCTCCCAGGCCTCAGTTTCCCCCATGGGTAAAATCTGTGGTCATACCCAGGAGGCCTGAGAGAGCTTCACAAATCCCTGAGGCCCAGAAAGCACTCAGCGAATGGGCTGGGTACCATTTCACACCCACATCGGACACTGGCCTGGTCTCCTCCCACCTCCCAGGGGTGTCCTGCAGCAAAGCATCGACTCCCCACTTTGCACTTTCTCTTAGGAAACCTCTCTCCCGAAGAAACTACACCATGACCTCTGGCCACAGGGTCGTGACCGTGACCGAATGAAGTAGGACTCACTGGCTTGCAAGTAACAGAAACCCAGTTAAACCACCTCCAGGAAACGTAAGTGTCTCATTGGAACCCAAGAAAAAATTGAACAGCCGGTTTCTCAGAAGAGCAGACGCAGGCTATGGGCTCTTTGGGGAACCCTGAACATCCCCCCAACTCCTCCCCATCTGCTCCCCCACCCCCACCACCAGCCTGCTTGCTGGCTCCTCTCCATACCCATCATCTCCTGGACAGGCACCCGCACTGGCTCCCGGCAGCCCGCAGACCTCGGCACCATCCCTGGAACATGCCACCTCGGGGCCTTTGCACTCGCTGAGCCCTCTGCTTGGGCCACTCTTCTCTGTATTTCTCCGTGGTTCCCTCCCTCCCTCCCTCCCTCAGGTCTTGGCCCAGCTGCTACCCCAGTGGCACCTTCCTGGACCAACTGGTTGAATATTGGAACTGTCCCCAATCCCCACATGCTCCAGTCCCCTCCCTGCTTGCTTGCTCTTGCTTCTTACTTTGGTTCTTGTGCAAAAAAAAAAGTTAATCATAATCCTTGGTTCCTAACCCACTCTCATCAGCTTTTAATGATTAATTTTAATAATAACCCATGAAACCAGCACCCCCCAAAAAAAACACCAGAATCTTGACAATACTCTACCCTGGCCATATACACGGTTCCCCCGCCCCAGCATCATGTCCTCCCCACCAGGAACCTCACCCTGATCCCCATTTTTAAACACAGCTCGTGACGGAACCTGTCTGCTCCATCGGCGCCCCCACTGGCGTCTGAGCCCTCCCCCCCGCAGAGTGCGGCCCCTGCTCGGACTCCCTCGGCCGCTGCACCGGATCCTCAGCCGATGCCACTCACCGGCCGCTGAACACACACAGAGGAGGCTGCTGCTGTGGAAGGTGCACAGGGGGTTTGGGGTTCAAGTCCCAATTCCTCGGGGGAACTTGGGCAAGCCGCTTAACCTCTTCCGGCTTCAGGGTTTTTTCCATCTGTAAAATGAGGACCCTGTTACCTGCCCAGTGGGGCAGGTGTGAAGAGTAGTGAGTTTTAGGTGGTGAGTCTCACGTACCCGGCACACAGTAGGGACTCAGGACACGACAAGCATCATGTAGTGAGCACCAGCCACACTGCGCCCGATGAATAAGACCCAGTCCCTGATCTCAGGGACATCTCATTCTAGCAGGGACAGCACTGAAGTGGCGAACTGTGACACACGGTGTCACATCAAAGGTGTGGGCAAAGGAGCGCAGAGGAAGACAGAATGAGTTCAGGGAAGGCTTCCCAGAGAAGGTGGCATTTAGTCAGACCTTACATGGCATTATACAGTCTGGGTCTTGGATTCTTTCCAACTTGTGGCTAAATTTCCATGTGACCTTGAGCTTGCCTTCTCCCCGCCCGGGGTCCGCGGGTCCCCTTCTATAACATAAGGTCGTTGAGCATCAGCTCTGAATCTTTCAGGTCACAGCCCCCTTTAAGAAGAATCTCTGAAAGCCAGAGCTCTTCTTCACAGGAAAATGTGCAGACATGTCTGTCTGCAATGGGGGAGAGGTCTTCACGGGTCCCCGGGAAGTCTTTGGTGGACCTGGGCTGAAATCCCAGTGACCCTACTGGAGTGTCATCCCTGCAGAGCCGGCCCTGTCCTCAGACACTCCTCTCTCTCTCTCTCAGTCTGCGGCAGGCGCAAGCAAGGAGAATCATTGACCCAATCTGGAAAGGCCCATCAGGCACCAGGCTGCAGGGCAGAGCAGGCGCCTGGGGTGGGGAGGTCCCTGGAGCTGGCTGGGGAACCGGAGTTCAGTTCTGGGAAAGTGGCCCTGAGCAGCCTGCCCAGGACCTGGACAAGTTTATCTATCACCCTCTGCCCCAGAGAGGAAGAGGAGCGTGGGCCGCCCCGGGCAGGCTCCCAGACAGGCCGCTGACCCCCATCTGCTGCCCGGACTGGAGTTCCCGGACGCATCCTTCATCTTCCCTAATCTAAACACCCGCAGGCCCCGGGTGGGCCACCCCCTCCCTGCTGGTGGCTGATGTGTGTCCTCAGCTGCGTCCAGCCTGCCAGAGGGGGGAGAGCTGGCCATCCCGTTAACACTTGAGCTGCTGCCGTCACCTGCTGCCCTTTCCAGCCAGCCGGCCCTCGCCCAGGGCTGGCCCTTATCTTCTGTGAAGGCCGTTGCCCCCTTGCCCAGGTTCCCCACCCCTCTCCGCTCGCAGGCAGGGTGCTGTTACTCTCCCACTCCCCTGGAGCACGTGGTGGCTTTGGGGAATTGGGGATCGGGCTCTGGGCTAGTTAATTGGATCCTGGGAGGAGAATCCACTCTGGGTTGGTGCCTGAGTGCTGCTCTAAGCTGCTGTGTGACCCTGGGCCTGTTTCTTACCCTCTCTGGGCCTCAGTCTCCCTATATGGACGCTTCAGCTTCCATGACTCCATTCGGCTCTGATGGACCTTGTCAGTCCCACCTCACTCCCCTCACCCCAAATAGTTGAAGAAGAGAAGACTGCCCTAGAATGTTTTAAGATTTTTCTTTAGACAATCTCTGGTTCTTACTCCTTCACTCAAGCATCTATTGAACGCCTAGTGTGTGCCAGGCCCTGGACTAGCAATGTAAAGATGACCAAGTTTCAAGCAAGCGACCAACAGACAACCTCACTCCATGCCTTGCGCCCTGCTTGGAGTTAGGAGACCTCCTGGGGTCCCAGGTGGGCCTAGCGCAGGATTTGGGGCGCCCCAGAGACTCGCGTGTCGGCGCCGGCGGCGCTGACGGCCGCGATCTGTCTCCGCCCCTTCCTCCTCCTCGGCCCCCTCCTCCTTCCCTCGCAGAGCGCGGCCGTCGCCGCCTCCCACCGGCGGGATCCCGCAGCCGGCTCACGCGTCCGTCGTCCGTCGGTCGGCGGCGTAGTCTGCCCTCGCGTGGAAAGCCCAGCGCCCCGCGCGCTGTCGCGGGGCCAGGGAGGGAAAGGGCGCGGAGGCGGGACCGCGGCTCCCTCCCACTCCGGGGGGAGCCCAGGAGGCGGCGGTGCTGAAGCGCGAGCCCGGGGAGAGCAGAGGCGAGGCGCGGCGCGGCTAAGCGGTGAGAGCGCGGGGTGCTCCGGGACCCCACCCCCGGCTGCTGCGGGGGGCCCCGCGCGCGCTGTGGGGAGGTCTGGGCTCGGCAAGGGGGCTCTTACCCCCAGGGCCGGAGCCAGCGACGACCCAGCTCCAGCTTCTCCTCCTCAATGACGCGACCCCCGAGGGGCCTGGGCCGCGCCTGCACCACCTCTCCCCACCCCGCGCACCCCCGCGCACCCCCGCGCACCCTGCATCCCCGGCCGGGGGGAGGAGAGCGCTGGGGAAGCTGAGGAGGGGGCGTCGCAGGCGAGAGTCTCGGAAAATCTTTCCCCCGGCTCCAGCCCTGCCTTCAGGCCTGCCCCTAGGGAACGCGGGCGGCGACCCCCTTTAGCCCCCTTGCTGTCCCCCCCCATCGGCTCCCCATTGTTCTCAAGCGATCGCTCTCCTGGGAAGGGGGAGGGGGTGCCGCCGCGCTCTATTCTTAAAGGGCCCTCTCTCCTTCTTGTCTCCAGGCAGGTCGCGAGCACGAGTGGGGTGGGGCGTGCCCACGGCCCCCGCCCCCCTCGTCCCCCTCGGCGCAGCCGGAGCCGCAGCCGAGCAGGCAGGCCGGCGACACGCACCACACCCCTCCCCCGAGCATTCTTCGGCCACCCAGGCCTTCCAGGACGCGGTGGAGCAGGGACCAGGGGGACAGGGACGCCCCCTTCAGCAGGAGCCGTCGGGGGGGCGGACCCGGGACGTGGCCAGCAGCCTCCCTGGAGCCAGGAGCAGGGTCTGGGACGCAGTGGCGTTTCGGGACGCAGAGGGCTGGCTGGGCACCGCAGAGAGCAGCAGGCTGGGCCGGGCCTCCGGGGTGACGGGCGGGTTGCGCTGACCGGGAAGGACAGGAGACCCGCAGGCAAGAGACTGGGCCCAGAGCAGGGGCGCTTGCCTCACTCCCCTGTCCCAGCGGTGGGATCCCAGGAATGTAGAGCCACGTTCCCCCCTCCTAAGAAAGACACTTGCTTTGCGGAGCAGCACCCTTTAACGGAGACGGCTCTGCCGGGAAGGGGTCCTCGGAGCCGGAACACGCCCGACCCTCACTTAACTGAAGCCTCCGGGCCCACAGAGGAGGGGCAGTCAGAAGGGAGGCCAGACAGTCCTTGCCGCTCCCCTGGGGAGAGAGGAAGTCCCCCGCCCGCTCCCAGGCCCAGGAGGAGCTGGGCCATCCTAGGGGGGTCCTGGCCCCTGAGGCGGCAGCAGCCATGTCACGGCCAGGCCAGGGTGTCATGATGCCCGTGAACGGGCTGGGCTTCCCGCCGCAGAACGTGGCCCGGGTAGTGGTGTGGGAGTGGCTGAACGAGCACAACCGCTGGCGTCCTTACACGGCCACCGTGTGCCACCACATCGAGAACGTGCTCAAGGAGGACGCCCGCGGCTCTGTGGTCCTGGGGCAGGTGGACAGCCAGCTGGTGCCCTACATCATCGACCTGCAGTCCATGCACCAGTTCCGCCAGGACACCGGTGAGTGCACCTGCCCCCTGCCGCGCCCCAGCTCCACCTTCCCCGATGGGGTGCTGAAATCCCCCAGGGTCCCTGAGGAGGGAGCCCGGGACCTCAGGAAGGCCAGCCAGCCGGTCCAGCCTCCCCACTCCTCCCCCCAAAAGGGACAGCCTCGCCAGGTGCAGTGTCCTGGGCCCTTGGGCAGGTGCATCACCACCTCTCTTGGACTCAGTTTCCTCGTCTGTGGAATGAGGGGATGGATAGCTCTGTCCTCCACATAAGGAGTAAATAAAATTGTGCACACTGAGCACAGAACGTAAAACCCTGGCACTCCGCTTTCGGAGCAAAAGGACGTTTGGTGCACTTCCTCATTTGATTGTTTTCGGACAACCAGGCAGTAGTAAGTCTTATGATTGTAGTATGATTAGTATTAGTCCCATTTTCCAGATGAGGCAACTGAGTCTCACAGAAGCTACGTGATTTACATGCAGAGCTGGGA